CCATGGTGGCTGTGATAGAGGGGTTTATTCCACTCACAATGGACGACACCTCCATTTGTCTGGTACAGATGACTGGGTGACCATTCAAGTAGAGCCAGCTTTTCTCAGAAGTCCCTGCCGTTATGGGCTGGCCTCTCTTGTCTTCATTTCCTTTCCCTTAAATAAACACCACCATATATTCCTCTCCATTCTACACATGTACATGTTTGATTAAAAATTATGCTAAACAGTAAAATATATGTTCATTGCAAACAAGCTAAATGCAAAAACTAGCTTTTAAAAAAAGTCAAATTTTAATATATCCCCACTTGAAAAGCAGGAAATGTATAGTGATGGAGGTGTCCATATCTTACACTTTGGGGTACCCATCTCTTATCCGCAACTCCTTCTAAACCACTGAATAGAATTTAATGAGACTTTCAAAGAATCTTTGTTACATAGTGCCATTATGCACCTCCTATTTTACTTTTTGATTGGACATATATTTCGGATTTCCCCTTGCAAAACATAGACACTGCCATTCTTTCTATAATATTAAGGGTACCCATTTCTTTTCCATAACTCCTGCGATACCACTAAATAAAATTTAATGATACTTTCACAGAATCTTTATTGCATGGCACCACTGTGCACCTCATATTTTACTTCTTGATCAGACACATATTTTGGGTTTCCCATAGCAAAACATGGACAATGCCATTCTTTATATAAAATCAGGGGTACCCATCTCTTATCTGCAACCCCTCCTATACCACTGAATAAAATTTAATGAAACTTTCATAGATTCTTTATTACACAGTGTCATTGTGCACCTCTTATTTTACTTTTTTATTTGAGACATATATCAGGTTTCCCATAACAAAACATGGACTCATTCTTTCTAAAATATCAGGGGCACCCATTTCTTTTTCAATTTGGAACTCTTCCTATACTTTTAAATGATACTTTCACAGAATCTTTATTACATAGTGCCATTGTGCATCTCCTACTTTATATTTTGATCAGACAGATATTTGGGCTTTCCCAGGTACAAATGTACTGTGCCATTATGCTCATATGGGATCGGGGGGTACGATTTTGTGAGCTTAGTGCTCACAGTACCTCTAGTTTCATCTATATTTAATTAAGTACTGAATCTTTCTTTGGATAAAATGAATTCTTCAAGGATTGTTAATGTCCCACCAATCCTTAAGGAGAATGACCCTCATGTAATGGAATAAACACTAGAAATGACAAATCACTGTTTCCTTCATAAAATGTTCATCATCAGAAAAAAAATCTAAAAGTCATGCAGTGACCTTATTAAACATTTGAAGCAAGTCTGGTAGTGTCCCATCCATACAAATTTTGTCACCATAGGGCTTATAGTTACCTGTAAATAAACCTCTTCAAAAAGAAAATTTCATCTGCTTATTAATTTGGATACTGTACAACTGTATGTCAGATCCAGAATCAGAAGCAAGTCAGGTAGCTTTCATCCGTAGATAAATCATCAATGTAAGATTGTCCAGGCAGAGCTCATAGTTACCTGGGAATGGACCTGCCTCAAAAACCTAAAGCTGTTCACTCATTTGGAAAATGTACATGAGACCACCATCCAAAGCAACCCTGGTAGTGTGCATCCTTAGACATATCATCAAGCAAGTTTAGTCACCTGCTGCTTATAGTTACTTAGGAATGAACCTGCTCCCTGTTCAATCACATGGAAAATATAAGTCTGATGCAACATCCAAAACAAGTTTGGTAGTTAGTTTAGTTACTTTAAAATGAACCTGCTCCAAAAACTTTAACCTGGTAACTCATCCAGAAAATGTAAGTCAGACCCAGCATCCACTCAGCGCACAATGTTTTGATGCAATTTACGCTGAAAAGATAACAAAATCAAGCATGCCATGTATGGTTTTACAGATAAATTATTTTGGAAGAAAGTGGTTGGAGACGTTTTTCCACTGTATAATATGACTGCAATTCTCAGGAGGGGGGTACTCCATGTAAATTGGAGTAATATACATTGTGTTATTATTATACTATGGGGTAAACTTTTATCATAGAAAAAAGTGCCTGGGGTGTATAGTTACTTGGGAATGGACTTGCTCCAAATACTTTAACCTGAAAATCTAAGTCAGATCCAGGATCTAAAGCATATCTGGAAGTGTGCATCCCTACATACATCATCCATGCAAGTTTTATCACCATAGGACTTTCAGTTACTTGGGCATGGAATTGCTCTATAAACTTTAGCCTGTAAATCTGGTTTAAATCTCGTATTTAAAGCAAGTTTATTTGTGTGCATCCATAGTTGCATCAAACATGCAAGTTAGGTTACCATAGGGCTTATAGCTGGGAATGGAATTTCACCTGGTCACTCATCCGGAAAATTTATGTCCGACCAAGCATCTGAAGCAAGTCTGTTGTGTACATACCTAGATGCATCATTCATGCATGTTTGGTCCAGCAGGGCCTTAAGTTACTTGGGAAGGGAATTGATTCAAAAACTTTCATCTAGAAAATTTAGGTCAGATCCAGCATCTGCAGCAAGCCTGGTAGTGTACATCCCTAGAAGTATTATCCATGCAAGTTTAGTCCAGGTAGGACCTATGATTCAAAAACTCTTACCAGGTCATTCATCTAGAAAATTTAGGTCAGATCCAGCATCTGCAGCAAGGCTGGTAGTGTACATCCCTAGAAGTATTACCCATGCAAGTTTGGTCCAGGTAGGACCTATGATTCAAAAACTTTTACCAGGTCATTCATCCAGAAAATTTAGGTCAGATTCAGCATCTGCAGCAAGTCTGGTAGTGGACATTCCTAGAAGTATTATCTATGCAAGTTTGGTCCAGGTAGGACTTATAATTACTTGGACTTGCTCCTAAAACTTTAACTGGGACACAGAGGCCAGATATATTGCATTAACTTATCTTGCCTTAGTTAAGGTGAGCTAATTAGTGAAATGACCCATCCTGAAAAATTTTAGAACCATGACACCCCTTATCTCTGTCTTCTTAAAAAGTTTCATTTTCATAGAAAAAAGACTTACAAGAGGACAGAGATAAATCAATTCTTTCATACCATGCCATGTAACTTCTGCTGTCTCTGCAAGATCTTCCCCAAAGACAACCCAAGCATGATCTTCTGAAAGTGCAAGATGGACATCTTTGTACCCCAGAATCTGAAAAGCTGCAACAACCCCAAAAGCTACTCCAAAGCAGTCCAACTTGTTACCTGAATAAATAAATGCAGTATTTTTACTTGCATATATATGCTAGGATAAAATGAATTTACACAGATGAATACACAAAAATTTTGATTTGATAGTTATCATTGAAGTGCTAAGTAGGCATAAGCACAAAAGTGGCCAAAAATCATTTGCACATGTTTTTCATTATATATATATATATATATATATATATATATATATATATATATATATATATATATATATATATATATATATATATATATATATATATATATATATATATATATATATATATATATATATATATATATATATATATATATATATTTATATAATAATATTTGTTATACTTGAAAAATATTTTTTATATGAATAAAATTAGATTCCGTAACATAAAAGAAACAGTTCTTATAAAAATTATATTTTTTTTAGTTTCTTTCTTTTTTGGTTCCAGGTAATATAAAACAGTTTAATAATGCCCAAAACATTGCAGCAGCTGTGTGCAACAATATTAAAGAAAGACAACTCAATCGTAAACAAATTATGAAATCAATGTCTAATGCAAAGTTTTTATGCAGATAATAAAGTTCAACAACTGAAAAATTAATTCTCTGGTGTCAGAGGTAAGGAAGAAAAAAAATCAATATTCCACACATCTGCTTGTAATATGATAATTAGTCATACATCGATTATCTCAATGACGCGCTTGTAATGGCTACACCGAGTAACCTCATTCAAGTGCAGTTTTCTGAAAATCGAATGCATGACAGCTCAAATTAACAATAAATATTAACAATTAACAGTATTCTCAAATTAAAAATTTACACAATTTCAGTTTTATATTCGTATTTTTATATAAGTACCCGTTAGAAAACTGTACAACGACTGAAGATGTGCCTTGTCCTTGTAAAAACTTCGCGTAAGGGAGCCCCAAATAACATCAGAGACATGTTTGACAAGCTCCCTTGTGGCATGGTTACCCGGAAACCTGGTCAGATCTACAGATCGTTTGATATGTGTCTCAAATTTGGAATAAAGAGCTTCAATTGTATGCAGTTCAACGACCGGGAATATCGGCTCCAGATTTGAAGAATTATCCACTTCTGTTGGTACTGCCCTGTTGACAGTCAGAATATTTTCGATGACTCCTAGAACAATAGATAGTAATGATAAATTAGGCTCCTCGCCACACGTCAACTGGTCCCGAAACAGTTTTACAACATCTTGAATATTTTGAAGTGGGAAAAATTGTTTTTCCCTATCGCGGAATCCCGCCATCTTTAATGCTAATATTTAATCTCCAAAAACATTTTCTCTAATTTCGCTTATTCTTTTAGACATAATTTCTTTTGGGGACCAAAGCATATGGATATAATTGCATGGCTAACAAATCTTTTACAACGTTTTCAAAGCCCTCTTACAGAAAATTAAAAACCTTATTAATTGCTTTTGGTTAAAGGCTTTTTATAATCATGGCGGACACTCAGCTGGCACAAGGTGCGAATGGAAATGTCGAGGGCGCCGGCCAAGCCGATGGGGCAGCGCAGGTAAATATACTAAAACTCCTTTCACACAAGAGTCTGAGTTGATGCCCAAATTATTTTAAATGGTTTCAGAGATTTTGAATGAACTTTGTAAGTTTGTTCCTTGTATTACAAATGAACCTTGCATACACGTTGCTTAATTATAATGATGAAATTGAACACGTTACTTTAGAATTTTAATTTTTGTTTTTATAAGAATACTAGCCATAAACTCATTAACTGTATTTCTTCTTTCATATAGCCGTCGTATCTTGTATCTGATAACTTAATATCTTACATAAATGAATAATTTCTTAAAATTCTGTAGTCTTTATCATTCAGATGTTTGAGCTTGTTTCCCTTAACCATGTCAAACCACTATTTTGGGATGTAACACAGGATAATACAGACAATAAATTCCTACAAGAATCCCTTTACGATGCCAGTTTGTCAAGCAGATGACATTTATTCAACATAGATAAAATTATCAAAATTTAGAATCATATCATAAAGCTATAAATAGTGCTTTGAATTGAAATATTATGTTGCCCTTTTCTGATCACATTTATGGCACATTAACATTTTACATATGAAAGAAAATTTTTTCAGAACAAGTAGAAAACAAATATACATATATATTATTATAGCAGTATAAATTTGATCCAAAGAGCTGTATCGCGTCAAGCTGACAGGCGCAGATCATCAGATCAAACAAGACGATTCACTTCTCGCTTGATTTGATGATCCACAGCTGTCAACGAGACGTGATATGGCTCTTAAGATGACGTTACTGTTTTGATGATAATTTTATTATATACCCCTCTATTATTAGCTAAATATAATTAAAGAAAACTTTTGTGATCAATTATACAACTTTTTACTATTAAACAAAATACTACTTCATGGAACTTTTTGATGCGCAAGAAAATAACTTCATGTATACTGTGTTTCGAAGAGGGGTGATATGGATTCAGAAAACCACAGTGTTGTGATCTGTAGAGTCAGATCACTCCATCACATGATTGTGTGAAATCAACAGTAAAACTGAGCGCATAGTTGGGTACATAAAAAAGATTGTTATGATTTGTAGCTCACCTGAGTCACTTGGGTGACCTATTGCTTTCTGTTTTTGTCCATCATGCATCATCTGCTTGTCATGGCTTGTCATAATCTTGTCATTAGCTTCTCTAAAAAGGCTGAACCAAATAATTACAACCAATTTTAATGTATTGCATCTCTGGGTAAAAGAGAACAAAACTTCTGAATTAAATGGTCTCTGCCTCTTTAGGTCTAAAGAGTATATATATCTAAAACCATCAATTTGAAAATTAATGCCATTTTAATTTCTAGACATCAAGCAGTCAAACTGTTAGCATGATTTTAAAGCTCAGTATTCAGGTTTGCAGGGTGGGGCTACGTTGGTCATATATTGAACATGCATTAAAGTTATGAAATCTTTTCCCACGGACATCTAGCAGGCAAGCTATTTGCATGATTTATTACTTGACTTTTTACCAGAATTGAAAATTCATGGCCACCGGGTCATTGATTCATGAACAAGGGTAGGACATTGTTAGTCATATATTGAAAGTTCATGTACATAAAATCTCTATATATAGGCATTGAACAGGCAAGATTGTTTTTAGATTACTACAAGTACTAAACCCTTTACCAAAACTCTAAAATTTATGGCTTGTTCAAGCCCCGGAGTGGGGCTAAGCTGGTGATATAATGAAAATACATAATAAGTATTACACCTTTGAAAATCTTCTTTACTCTTGGACATCTAGCAGGGAAAAAAACTGTTTGCAGGATTTAGCTAGTCCTCTACAAAAAATTCAAGTCTCCCGGGGCCAGGGATTGGGCCGTAGGGCAGGCTAAGTAGGACATATAATTAAATTTATTTTATAGTGTACCTTACCTATAGAAACTCGCAAAATTCAGGTGACCATCAAGACCCATGGGTTTCTTGTATAATTCTGAAGTGAAAATTAATTTTTTCATATTTTGTCCATTTTAAGAGAAATTCAAGCATTGTAGCCCAAGGATTCTTATTGCAATATCATTGCAAAGTAGTACATTCACTGTTTTAAAGATGTAGTTATAGGGGCGTTAACCTGCAAGAAGTCTTGAAAACAAACATAAAGGCATCTTATCGAATGAGTAGCAAATGAAGAACAAAAATATATAATCCTCTATAAATTTATGTCACCATATTTCCTTATGAATAAGTATTCTTAAATGTGCCAGTACCTGTTGAGGTATGATACACTTTTCCTTTTAGCAAGCACCTGGAGGGATATGGTCCACAGTAAAGTCCTTGATAGTGCGAATGCTTATCATCTACATGATCAGTAGTTTCTTCAGAAGAGGGACACCCCCAGCTAACACAACAGATGGCAAAGGTGGAAAAACCCCTTATGCTGAGAATATATATCCTAAAGGCATGAAAATGGTACAGTGTAACTTCAGTTATTGCACTTTCTAATGAAAGAGATTTTGTGTGCAGGTGAGCAAATATGACCATTTTAAATAAGAAACTCTTTTGTTTTATAGGACATGTATATTTACATGACAGAACAGGAGGACTTTACTGATTTTAATGAGGATGCATTGTTCTGGGTACAAAGGGGGCTAGAGTATGGAGACTGGATGAGCGGACCGAACGGTGATGGCTCTTATATCAAAGAGGGCAAAATCCAAACACCCCTCGTAAGTCAAACTGCTAGAGTCAATTTGAATGCACAACAACTTTTATGATTTATTGATTGTAAATTATAGAAAGAGAGAATAAATCTCAAGTTTTTGTGATGAATTGTAATTTTTTCCCCTAAACTCTTTTGCTTTCTTAAAAGAATGTGATGAACAATGGATCTATATACCTTCATTGCTACTTTGTGAAAGCGGGTAAATCTCCAAACCCCAGGGATAAGGGGAAATATGCCAGGAAATTCACAGTGCACAGGTCAAAACGTAAGTACATCATATATTTTATTGAATACATAGAATAAATCCTGAATTGTTATGCCCCAATTGAGGGTACTGTACTGTTGCAGTGTTGTTATATTTGGTTAGGTGTCTAACTGCTTGTAGCTTTAACTTGAGCCTAAATTTTGTACTTAGTTAGATTCAGTAATGAGTATACATATATTTGGGTAATTGATTATTGTTTATATTGATGCTCTTCCTATCTCCTATTGCTTTTGTAATTTTTAGGTCTCAATAAATACAAGAAAAGAAGATACCACAAAACAAGTAATTTATTGACGGGAGAGACTGATGTACACCCAGATCTAATTCAGGTCAGTTGATCTATACTCTACAGTTCATTGGGCAGAAATATGCACCAATCACTGTCCTGGACCAGACTTGCATGGATGATTCATCTAGGGTTCCACACTACTGTAATTTTTGTTTCTATCTGTATTCTGGAAATGTATCAATTAAAGTGTACAAGTAACTCCTGTACTTTATTTTTAAGTTGTGCAGTTAGCCATGTTGATGATATAAATAATCAGATGTTTTTTTTGTGTTGTTTTACCTTTATTGCCTAGACCTATCAGTACAAACATTACAGCTACAGAACATTTACAGTATTTTGTATAAGACTTTGCTTTTCTTATAGATAACATTCATCGAGGTGAGCTTCATTACCTTTGATGTTTGTTCTTTGAGAAAAGGCTGCATTAGTATATAGAGGACAGCAATGAAAGACAGCAATTATAATTTATAAAATATCCCATTGATTCCTGCCATAATGAATGGAGTTAGTGTTGATTGCCAGTAACAATAGGTTGTCTCTTTTTCAGACAGCCAATAGGAGTTCCTTTGAGATTCTGAATTATTGGCATCCTAACCTCACCATTAATCTGATGGATGACCACTCTCCCTGGATGAAAAGTCATGTGCCACAACCTTTAGATGAATGTGAGTTTGATTTCTTAATATTTCATCTAGTTGTTTAAATTGCTGTTGTTATTTAGGATTTCTTTATCTTATGACTGTATTTGAATAGACTTGGAGTTTCTGCCAGGCATGGACCAGTATCAGCCAATACTATACTTCAATGATTATTGGAACTTAAATACAGACTACATGCCCATCAATCAAACAACACCGTAAGTAACTTTTTGTGGTTATTTGAAATTCCACTTTGAAAATATTAGAAAACATGAATGTTTATTATATGTTATAATAATGATATCACAAAATACTGCATATCATTGAATGAATTACAAAACTATTTAAATTATACATGTTTGGGATTTCAGAGAGTTGAACCTGACTTTGACCTACAGCCCTATCTCCTTGTTTAAGTGGCAGATGTATGCTGCCCAGGGTATGAGAAATAAATGGTATGGAATGCTTGGGGCAGACTTCATGGAGGAGTCTGACGAAGACCAGGACAGCCTTAAGGTAGAAATGAGATGTATCAAGTTTGTATGAAAATAGTGCTCAGACTACATACGTTTTTAGCTGAAATAGAGTGTATTACAGAAAGGAAAAGAAAATTATTTAGAACATATAGTTTGGATATGTATTTTGTTATTCTTACATTAAAAGAATTTTTTCTTCCTTTTTTCAGACTACAGTGATGGAAACTAATCCCTATTTGTTGGCCTTGACTGTTATTATTTCTATTGTCCACAGTGTCTTTGAATTCCTTGCATTCAAAAATGGTAATGAAACCAAGCAGAAATAAAATGATATAAAATATGATTAAGGGGAATTATCTGTGAATTTTGAATTTAATACTTTGGAATGGAGATGGTCATGTTTTATTTGAACAGAGTTTGAAAGGTAAATCTTAAAGGTGAAGAATTTCTTCAGCTTCTTCTTTGGAAAGTGCTGGAAAGATTTTAAGATTTGTTGTTGTTTTTCAGACATACAGTTCTGGAAGAACCGTAAATCTTTGGAGGGTTTGTCTGTACGCTCTGTCTTCTTCAACGTCTTTCAATCCTTGATTGTGGTTCTCTATGTTCTGGATAATGAAACCAACTTTATGGTCAAAATCAGTGTCTCCATTGGACTCCTTATTGAAATCTGGAAGATCACCAAAGTGGTCACTGTTAAGGTAGGGAGCATTTCTTCACTTAAATATATTCCAATTAACAGGTTAGTGTCATAAGCTACTAATTTGAGCTTGACAAAGCTTTGATTGTCAATTCTTTCTTGTGCCAATAGCAAAGTAAAATAACTCTATTTGCATTGCATCATTCAGAATTGCTAAAATTATAAAATTTTAGCTTTTAATGTTAAATGAACAATATGGTGCCAGATTGAAAGGTTATTAGTTTCTTCATTGCCTTTCCAAAAGGGCAGAAATTGACCTGTGTTTAAAAGTCAAAATAATTTTTACTATTTCAGCTGGACAGAGAGAATCCATGGTTTGGGGTTATACCTCGTCTGACTTATGAAGACAAATCTACCTATACAGAATCTAACACCAAAAAATATGATATGGTAAGAAAGAATTCGTAATATGTGTATGTGGAAAAAGTAATTTAGTTTCAACTAATATATAAACTGGTACCCTGTCCCAATAAGTGTATTAATCATTGCATTTCTAATGGTTGATAGATGGCGTTTAAGTACTTATCCTGGTTGCTGTTCCCTTTGTTGATTGGATATGCAGTATACTCGTTGATTTATCTGGAACACAAGAGCTGGTACTCTTGGGTGCTTAATATGATATATGGATTCCTTTTAACATTTGGTATGTGGTACAAATAAAAAAAAAAAAAAAAACTTTAAAAAAGTAACATTTTACAGTGCATGATTGCAATGGTCAAAATTCTCATGTTCAGTGCTGCAGTAGATATGGATTTTCCTTTTTAAATACAAAATATTAAAAGGCACTGTTTGCATTTTTCTGTAAGCTTCATTATATTTTAATTGAAGGATAATTTTTTCAGGTTTTATAATGATGACACCTCAGCTGTTTATTAATTACAAGTTAAAGTCTGTTGCCCACCTTCCCTGGAGGATGATGACATACAAAGCCCTGAACACCTTTATAGATGATATATTTGCATTTGTCATCAAGATGCCCACCCTTTACAGGATAGGATGTTTTAGAGATGGTAAGGGTGAACTGATTTGTGGTTGTAAAACAATTTTGTGTACTGAAAGTTATAGATGAAAAAAGAAATTATGTTTGATATGTTTATTTCAAAGATAAGGAGACACATTACTATTTCAGAAAAGATATTGCATTTAGAGTTTAAGATTTACATTTCTCATCTTTATCCTCTATCGCAGCATGTTGTGGAGGGGATATAGCATCCCTAATTGCAAGTGTGTGTGTATGTATGTGTTAGTGTGCAAGCTTGTGGGCAAGATTGAAAGAGAACCCTAGTACTTAGGATCATCAAACTTGCAGGTTATAATTAATGTATGAGCTAACTGAAATGGCTTCCAGATGCATTGAAAAATGAATCGACATTGCTCTGTGTTCTTGTGAAATGGTGTGCTAACTTTATGTGTGTAGATTATTATTTATCATTGGGATACATAAAATTTGATTCTAACAGTGACATGTAATTATTAAAAGTGTAAGTGTCAAGAGTTAGCAAGGATTTCTGTTGTCATGGGCGAGAAGGGAGGGTCTGCTTTGGTAGTGCTTCTGTACATCTTGCACTGGAATTATGCCGGGTGAGCCTTATACATGTTTTATGAAAGTTTTGATCAGGTGAAAATTTTAATCTTTGTATTTAATTTTCTTTCCAGACGTCGTATTTTTCATCTTTCTTTACCAGCGATGGATCTATCCTATTGATCCAACTCGCCTTAATGAGTTTGGTACTAGTCAGGAAATGTTTGACCAGAATGGCAAGATCAAAACTGACCAATCAGAAATAGGGTCCCAGCAAGCCAGCATAGAGCAGTCAAAAGCAGAAGACTCAGATAATCAAACTGAAAAGTCAGCTAAGGACAAAAAGAATGATTGATGGAGCGACAAATTGTGTATGCTTATTTGTGATGTTGTCAGATCTCATTAATAACATATATTAATGAATGTGGTAGTGAGTTACGTCGTTAGAGATCTTTGAAATTTACTCCAATGTTTTTTGTCAAAATCTGTGTTCATTTGAAAGCTTGTCAGTTAGATTACATACAATCATGTTTTCCTTCGTTCCCAACATCTGATAAGTTGTGAAAATGTGGTTGCTGCAGAATTTTATTGAACAAAGAAGTATTGTGCTCCATGAGTACTCCAATATTAAATAATCTGTCCTTTATAAATGTTTATGACTGTGTCCAAAGCTATGATTTTATTGTTCTTCCTGAAAACTCTGTTTTTATTAACCCCTTCCTTGTTTTTTGATTATTAATACATGAAGAATTTGCCAAATATTACCTATAAAATAACATTTTATTAACAGATCATACCCTATTTTTGGTCTTAGTACGACTCCTTTTATTGCTTAATTACTTACACACCTGACTGCCAAAGTTACATGTAAGACTTTTTTTGCGTAAGGTTATTTAATATGCAGGAAACATGAGGACTGTTTAAAGCATACATTGGTGGTCAAATGCACTACTGATGAAAAAACGTATACAAATATCCACATTGTTGCCATATCTCTTAAGCCAGAAATCCTTCAGTAGTTTGAGATTATTAATTTATGACGTCATTTGACTACAAATATTCACTCACTAAGTGATTGTAACATTCTTATGTAGAAATATACATATTTATTTTTATTCAGTTTGCAGATTTTTACATGTATGACTATTGTAACCAGTTATTAAATAAAATATTTTGATTTTTAGTTACATTTGTTAACAGCTTTTTAGCCCAGCCAAAGGCTCAAGAAGTGCCCAGTGTCTATCTGTTTGTCACTTGTCTTGTTTACTCTTCCACATCCCATTCCTTCCGTAAGAAAGTATCAGATTAAAGGTTTTTCTGCAGCATTTTTAAGGAAGCTTTCACTGAGGTATATAGAACTGTTTTTTATTGCATAATTTATGATTATTTCATGTGCAAGAAGCAGGAGGACTGTTCAAAGCTTACATTGGTGACCAAATGAAAAAAATATATATACATACTGTAATGATGTAATATCCACATTGTTGCCATATCCAGAATGGTTAACTCAGATATAACCAATCAAAGAAACAAGGGGTCAGCCTTTGTTAAAGCTCAATGACACCAAGATCTGTTATGCATAGAGCTAACTTGAAGACAGTTTTTACAAATTATTGCATTTAAGTTAAATCACTTTACTAACAATAATCCAATAAAAAAAATAAATTGAAGAATTTGGGAATTTGAACTGATGAATAAATTCAATCAGATAGCTAAGTTGGTTGAGCACAAGTCTATAGAGTTTTGAATTCTGGTCTCATTTTCTGCAGTCCGGTTACATATTGTTGAACCCTGTTTATATCCTGGTCTGGTCTGTTGTAGTTTCTCTTTTCCAAGGAGAACAATAATGCAAAATGAAAGGAACTTTAAAATAGCAAAATAAATTTTAGACTTAGCATACATAGTCTACTGGAAGATTTGTAGACATAACAAGGACAGCATAACAGCTTGAGATATGATTAAAACTAAGTTAGAGACAGAATTTGACTATAAACTTCTTAGTCTACCAGAAGACTGGTGGACAGTCTATTAGAAAACCAATGTTAAATACATAAGTAACATGAAGTAGTATGATCCAGTATTTTCTGACCCTTGAATTGATTTACTGTGAACAAACCTACTTTAAGTCGCTTTGTCACATCATATACATGTACAAATACGAACAAAATGTATATTTTAGAGGGGAAAAAAGGATTAATACTGTACACAAATTCCAGTAACTAGTGATACAGGCATCAAAATTATGGTCGCATAACAAAATATACTGGGTTTCAAATGTATTGATAGATTATTTTATTTTTTATTGACTTTGCCATTTCTAAGCCTCAAAATCCCATATAATTACAGTAACACTTTTAAAACATACTATGTTTATAAGACTATTGCCCGGAGAAAATTATGTTGTAAGTTTAGAATTTACTGGATGGATATAAATGCAAAATTTACAACATGATAAGTTATCAGACAATCCCTACTCCAGGCTTTGCTCCTCCTATTCCAGACCTCTTCGATCGCCGAAATATGCTGAAATATTGCCGACTCGGCGTTAAACAATAATAATCAATTAATCAATCCAGACCTCTTCTAGTCTAAACTCATTCCAAACTTCTAATTCATCCTCCAGTCTTTACTCAATGACATCTTATTCCAGACTTCTTCCTCCCCCAGTTCCCACTGTAAATATGTTTTTCACTGTGCCAAGTTCAAATTAAGATCTCAATAATTTACAAATCATTAATTCCAAGACCCAAAAATATTTTACTTGAAATTAACGGGAAAAATTATCTCTTTTATTTAAGGACAATAAAATTAAATTGTTTAAGTGAAAAAAGTCCTCTCACTGAACATGAAAAGTAGATGAGCACAAATTCTCTTTAACTGAGTGGATATAAATGCAAAATTAACAACACGATTATGTTATCATGTTGTAAACAAAGGGTTGAATATTCTCATTTTCTGTTAAGGACATTGGCAAGTCAGGGCTTTCCGGAGAAAAAAGGTTTAATACATGGGTTTTTTCACTTGTAAAATAGTGATTGAGAGTGATCTCCCGTGTAGAATTCTCTAAGCGGTGAAAACCAGTAAAGCGTATGTTATAGAGGTAAACAAAAGCACGTGTACTTCCTTCAACGGGTAGAATCTTCTATACAGCAAGAAAGAAAAGTAGTAATGGCTTTGTTGTACATTGTATTCAGGGACAAAGAGCAAACAGGTCGTCATTTACCATAGTTATGCTCAGTATGCTGGGAAGGGCAAAGATGTGACATATGCTGAAAGGTAGGTCGACCATGCCGACTGAGAACAGTTCTTAGCTCGTGTGAAGGAATCAGCATTTAGTAATATAAAAGTTAAAAATAAATCCATGCCAATATTTTTACGACAATGTATTTCAATCAATTCAGTCAATTACATGATAAAAACAATCAACCAGTCACTTGACCAATTTTAGCTGTTAAGGGACGCAACTCAAAAATGATGATCGGTGCCGGTATGTCCATGTCTTTTTTCTATATATACATTTTCAACCAAAATATCTAGAAGTCATAGGAAATGAAGTTACAATAATGTATACAATACAAAAACTGTATGAAATAAATGGGTTTTGAAGAAATATTATGGTGAAAATTTATGTAGGTCCCTTTTATCAACATTTTACATAGGAAATGCATTAAGAATTGTAAAAACACTAATTTGACAAAATCTAAAAAAGAATGCTGGATTAGTAGGTAAAACGATCCAGAATATAGCCTTTTTAGTACATTTAAACCTACCCAAAAGTTCTTGAAAAATTCTATACAATAACCAGGAACCTTGCCAATGTCCTTAAACCGTCATGTACTCCAGATACTATGGTGTCCGGATAGGGCCATTTGCAAAAGCTCAACAGCGCGTTCAGAAAAAAAACACGCCATCACGCTAACACACGACACGCCCTCACGCTAACACAATTATACAAACACGTCATCGCGCTTATACACAACACGCCGCCGCGCTAACACGCTTTCAAACAACACGCTGTTGCGCTAACACAACTTTATACAACACGCCGTCGTGCTGTCACACAACACGCCGTCGCGCTAACGCAACTTTACACAACACACTGTCGCGCTGTCACACTCGCTAACACAACTTTATGATAGCGCGACGGCGAGCTGTGTGTTAGCGCGACGGCGTGTTGTTCGAACTTGTGTTAGCGTGACGGCGTGTTGTTCAATGATGTGTTAGCGAGATGGCGTGTTGTGTGTTAGCGTGACGGCGTGTTGTGTGTTAGCGCGACGGCGTGTTTTTCTGAACGCGTTCTTGAACTTTTGCAAATGGCCCTATCCGGACACCATAACATACTGCTCTCTTTGTCAGCATGTATTTTCTCCTTCTGATGTGAAGAAACATAAACATCTTGCTCATGTAGGCAATTATTCATACCCTCCTCAAGTTTTCACTCTCCTCCTCGTCCTTAAAGTTTTACTCCTTTTTATTCCAGACAACCTCTCCTCCAAGCTTTACTCCTCTTATTCCAGACAATCCCTCATCCAGCCTTTGTTCTTCATTCCAGACCTCCTCCTCCTGAAAGCTTTACTTCTTTTTTTTCCAATCCTCTTTCTCCTCCAGGCTTTACTCCTCTTATTCCAGACAATTCCTTCTTTATGCTTTACTCCTGTTATTTGAGAACTTTTCCTCCTCCAGGCTCTACTCCTCTTATTCCAGACATCTTCCTCCTCCAGGCTTTAATACTCTTATTCCAGTTTTCCTTGGGCTTTACCCGTCTTATTCCAGACGTCCTCCTCCTCTAGGCTTTACTTCTTATATTCCAGACCCTCTACTCTTTACACATATTATTCCAAATTTCTTCCTCCTCCGGTCTTTCATCATCTTATTACAGACTTCTTCCTCCTCCAGTCACCGTTCACGGTAGCTCAGTCGGTAGAGCGCTCGCTCCGTGATCGGGAGGTCGTGAGTTCGAATCTCGGCCGCGACAGACCTAAGTCGATAAAAAATAGGTAGCAACTGTTCCTTCGCCATGCGCTCGGCACTTTGGAGTGAAAGTTGCGGGTCTTTCGGATGAGACCTTAAAAACCGAGGCCCCGTGTCACGGCAGGCGTTGGCACGATAAAGATCCCTCACTGCTCAATGGCCCTGAGTGCCGAGTAAAGGTCAAAATTTGAAGCCCTTCACCGGTATATGTTGACGTCTCTATATGAGTGAAAAATTCTCGAATGGGACGTAAAACAATATACAATCAATCAATCAATCCTCCTCCAGTCTTCAACCCCCTTTCCCATCCGTGCATTAATCATATGGACTTACTACCAATCCTTTTCGTGAAATCTCAATATGTTTCGCAAGTGTACTTATAAGCTTTACAGGTTTAAGTTAAGAGCTTTTAAATTCCAAACCAAGATCCAAATACATTTTACTTGCCAATGAAATTAGAAAAAAAGTGTCAATCTCCTTATTTATTGAACGGCAATACAATTTAATTGTTTAACCAAAAAAAAAATTCTATGAATAAACCTGAAACGTAGATGACCTAATATTAAATTTCTAAAACGTTGCATGGCGAAATATAAGAAAAATTGACAGTCTATTTTTATACTTGCACTCTCTAGGGAAAGTTCAGGTATATTGTTGTTATCTTGGACCGTTCGTCCGTCTGTCACATTATCTTCTTCCTCAAACTATTATATTTCAAAGAGTATCTTTGGAATATGATTGGGGATGCCCTGAACATGTGCAAGAAGATTTTGAAAGTAGGGCCAAATGGGGGTAAAAAGGCATTTTTTTACAAAACCCTGGTTCCCTTAACTCTTCTGACATTTTTTGCAGTAGCCCATGCATATTTTGGAACATGATTGAGAGTGTCCTGTAGATGTACAATAAGGTTTCGGAATTTTTATTTTCACCATGAGGGCAACTGAAGGTCCAAAACGACCCCCCCCCCCCAAAAAAAAAAAAAACACAAAAACCCTGGTTCCCTGAATTCCTCTTACATTTTCTGCAGTAGCCAAATCGTTTCTGGAATATGATTTGGAGTGTCCTGTCGACGTGCAAAAAGGTTTAGGAATTTTAATTTTACATACACCATTGGGGCCAACTGGGGGTCAAAAACATCGTTTTTTTTTCTCGACAAAATCGGTTCCCTGAACTCCTCTTACATTTTTCGCAATAGTCCATTCATCTTTTGGA